AGAGTTACTTATTTTCAAATTGATTACTTCCTTCCTTTCTTTGGAAGATTCCCTCATTCCTTTTTTGTATCAAGATGCAGTAGTAGAAAGCCAAAAACTTTCTTTCCCAAAAATTAATAACAACTAAAAATATAACCCCTTCAATTCTATTTGTAGTTTGTTCCTTTTGCGATAGTTGATAAGTCGTCGCAAGAGGAAGTACAGTATCCGAATCTCCCGGAAAGTAGGCGGAGCAGGCGATAAAATTTGTCTTACCCTTCTTGCCCAATAGGGAAATTTGGATGGCTACCACGTCTTGGGTGCAGAAGCCTGTAAGCAAAAAATGGTTAATACCTTTCCTGATGACCAGACATGCTCTGGGTTTCACCCCAGGGCACGCTATTATCTCACCAGGAATATTGATCAGCCCGTTTACTCGGCTTGTATTTCCTGTCTATGGTTCCTGCAGGAAGGCAAGGTCGAATTCATCCTTGAAGTTTTTTCTAAGGACATATGAAGCGGCTTTGTCATGTTGTAAGTTTGCCTGCAAACACTTGAAGTTAACAAGTGTTGCCGCAAACTTAGAACTCCTCGGCCCTAGGAGGGAGAAGATGACCCCCCATCATTAAGGACACCTCCACCCTCCTCTCCCGGGATCGAGGGATGTGTAGGCTCTGATGATGAGGTGAGGACACCTGCGTCTCTGAGTTGCCTGCTGATTTATTGGATCTCTTTGACGAGACGATTTTCGTCTTCGCTTTCAGAGAGCCACGCCCAGCCTTTTTTCCTGGCTTTCTCGACGAGACTTTAGCCGTCTTCGTCTCCTGAGAAACACCTGTTTTCTCGGCCTTGGGCTGGGTGTGAGCCGGTGGTTTACCCCTTGGTTTGGGTGGAGGTTTGGTTGAACTCCCCATAGGTGGATTTCTACTCGGCCCCGCTCTATATACTCTAACGGGTACATTAGAGTGACTCGTTTGAGTAGTTTCCTGCTGGAAGGGTGCCCGGGTTTTAGGGCGGAATAAGACCTGCCCAAAACCAAAATGTGGTCTGAAACCCGTCCTCGCCAGCACGGCCATGGATCCATCGTCTACAGCGAAGATCCATGTTTGACTAGGGCCTGACTTTTCATTGTGGAGGATCGTCACTCCAAGGTTGACAGACCATGGTTCATTTTCCTCAATCTAGTGAGGACCTGTTCGGAGGTCAGTCTATGACTGCCTCCGCCAGGTAGGTAAGCAACACAGATGTGTGGCTTCGGAAGTTGGTTCCCTGTGACGCATTTCAGGGAAGCGCCCTCCCACGGTTGCAAGGTATTAACTACACCCGCAAGCCATTCGGCACTAACCTGATCCTCACAGACGACCTGTAACCATCTAGGTTGAAAGACGCAGCTCTGGAATTGTACCTGCGGCCCTTCGTCTGGAAAAACCTCCACAGTTGACAAAATAGCCCCCTGAAGAGATTCTAGCTGGTTGGCCGTTAATGAGGTAGTCGGATAATCAAGGTGCAAGATTTCCACCCTGATGCCCGCGACAACCTTCCCATATGAGAATTTTGCACATCAGGTACACATTCCGCTGACGACCGCTTGCCGTAGGCTCTCACTACATATCTATGGCTAGAAATCCGTGGCTGTCTTCACACTCGTGAGGCTATTTACAAAAGAACTCCTATCTCACAGTACTGTTCATGACAACCTATTGTATGGGCGAATCAGAAGCAAAAGCTCTAACTCCTATTGCAATGATAATTGAAAAATTGGTAAAGCTAAGAATAAGCATATTTAACAGAAACATAAAATCATAAATTAAATGCTATTGGCTGATACCTGGTGAAAATCAATATCAAAACTTACAATGATTTATTTTGATTTTCACTGTCGAAGGTTCACAAGGCTGCGACACGTGTTTTGACCTACAATAGTTCTTTCAACCAGGATTTGATTAACTACTACTTCTTTACTCTGAAAACATTACTATGATCTAAAGTCTGATAGATGATTTATTCTAATTGAGTTTTAACCACTTGAAAAGAAAGAATAGAGTCATGATAGTGGCAGCAGATTTCCGTAATCTAACTAAAGTATTTGGTTGTGTTGATCACTGCTGCAAAAACTTCAATAATATTATTTTAGGGGAATTTCTATTCAATGGATAGGATCATTCTTATTGAATCGAATTCAGATAGAGAAAAATAATCTAAATTTGAGAATTGAAAAACGTGGGGTTATAATTCAAATAGTTTCTGAAATTCCAGCTCTAGTTTACATGTATACGCATGCAATGCTTCTTCAGAATCACTATCACTAATTTATTTATTGCAGAAGCATTACTTATTGCAGAAGCNGTACGGCGTCTCTGGGATGCGAGTTATCAATAAGAGTAAACTTGGTGCAAAAACGTTCCATGGTTAATCGAATTAACTGCTCTGATGGACGATTTTGTCGACGATAAAATGGACGTATTGCGCGATACGTTTTCCGCACAGAACCATTATTTTCGAAATAAAATTGCAATATTTGCAAGCGTTGTTCAGGCGTGAGTCTATTCATGATGAATTGCCAAACCGAACTAAGAATAAATCACTTGACAGCTGTTAAATCGGTCGCCATCTTGAAAAGTAATGCCAACTTAAAGTTCTATACCTCTATAAAAAACACCCGTTAGAAAACACTTTGGTTTGGTTATTGATGACCAGAGTCAATGTCTACAATGTTGCGACTATTCTGAAGAAAAGTTCATTTAAAAGAAAGGTCAAGATACATTTTTATAGCTGTCACATTTTACTTTCTCAGATGATGGATGCAATATCTCAGTCCTCAGAGGTAAATGAAATTAGGCTCCAGAATCGGCCTTAGTTATACTTCTCTGTTAAGAATGATGTTATTTTGAAAGAAGTTGTACTATTCGTGATGTAACCAACACTCATCTTTCTAGAGAAGAAGTTGATGTTGAAACTACCCCAATCGAAGAAGAACCCAAGGAATTGACATTAGATGAATGGAAGGCTCAGCGTGCTGGTCGTGTCAAGCCGCAATATAATATTCGAAAAGCAGGCGAAGGCGAGGATCCAAGCCAATGGAAAAAAATGTTTGAACTCCGAAAAAAAGAGAAAGAAGAAGTAAGTTGAATCTGTTTTATAATTAATGAATTGAAGACTATTGCAAGAGATATTTGAATGAAGATCAGAGAGTTTTTCAATCTATTCAAACTCATTTCAAATACTGTTTGTCGATTCTATCTGGCTTTACTTATAATCAAACAGAACAATTCCAAATACTTCAAAATAATGTATTTTTTTGAGAACTACTCGTGTTACTCAAATATCATCTATGCTAAAGCTAATAGACATTACAACGGTTTTCATTATTAGAACATAGAGTTTTGGGCTGGAATCACGATTGAAGAGAACAAAGTTTAGGCTGGTAGGTCGTGGCTGACTGGAACCTGAGGTACTTCAGGTTCCATTCGACCAGGACCTGCCAGCCCGGATTTTCTCTTTGATAATGGTTCTCAGTATTCAACGAATTTTCTATATAATATTGGAATTGTTAAATTAGGTGATCTCCAAGTCTAATATATTTGATGAATGATTATAAACTACAAATAATAGCTTTAACATTGAAATAGAAATAGAAATAGTTTTATTCATCACTAAAATTTTCACACATACATAATTACAAGACTAAATACGTGAGAAAACTTATTGGACTAGTCAAAAGTAAAACGCTAAAAGCAAAACAAAAATGTTTGATCTTGAACAAACTTAAAAGAGAAGACTACATGTANTCACGTCAGAGAGCATCACAACACACCACGACACAATAATATAATTCCGGCTTTATTATTTAGATGAGACTTTGTTGAATCAAGGCCATACTTTCTTTTTCAAAGGTATGGCAAAATTTAGAAATAAAAACTAATCGACAAGCTTCCATTGAAGGATTAAAGATATATAGTGCATTCCATTTAAAACGAGCCACCCTGAATAACTTTTGGTACAATGATTTTCAGGAAAAATTAAAAACCATGTCAACAATAGTATACAGGGGGACACATTTTGACATATTTTCATTTGATGTTACTTCCCATATCGCATCCCAGTGTATGTCCCCAATCTTTTTCTGGATCCCCTATATTGTTTCGCATTTTCAGATGCTCCATGATGAGCAGATTTCAACAAAGTATAAAACATATGATCTGAAGCTTATGGTTCCGGAACTACCCTAAATAACTTTTGAAACAATGATTTGCAGGAAAAACAAAAAAAAACAGGTCAACAATTACAGGAGGCCACATTTTGAAATACTCATTCTAGAGAGACAAATATGGAAGCAATAAATCAGAAAAAGAGATTTTTTATTAATTCTTGAATCAAAATGTGATGACTGGACAATGAGAAAAAAAAAGTATATAGTAAATGTTCAAAACGTTCCACCAACTTCTATACAAACGAGCTTCCATTGCCGCCCTCACATGGTTGAGAATCTCAAATCTTCTAATGTTGTTGGTTCTATACATACACTTTAGACTTCAAATGACCCCATAGAAAGAAATCTACAGGAGTGAGATCCGGAGACCTTGGTGGCCATTCTGTAGGACCTCTTCAGCCAATGCAGCGACCAGGAAAATGATCTTACAAAAATTGTTGCAGTAGAGCTGCATAATGAGGAGGTACACCATCCTGCTGAAAAACTATTTCGTTTTGGAATAAATTTATATCATCCTCAATTGCCCTATTGATGCACGGTATTATTCGATTCTCCAACATATTTACTCCGATTTACTCAAAAACTTCGGTCTTTTTTCTACTTGTTATGCAACGTATTATCCAGTTTTGTGCGTCAAAGTTATCTGTGTCGGACTTTGGTGAAGTGCATAAATAAACTCAGAAGAGTGCATTAAAGTTGTAAAAGTAGATTTGGCTACAAAAACACCGATAGATAAAGCCACAAAAAACGAGAGGTAAGAAATTCTATTAAGAGGATCGTGCCCGGACAATATTGACGTTGATTTCATTCTTGATAGGATTGATATCCAATTTAATTNATTATTAGTGATATAAGAGGTAAAACAAAAAAGAAAAACTCCGAACTCTCACATATAATAAAAGAGTTCTACTGTTCTATTGCAACTTAGACAATATAAAAATTCATGACAGTCTTATTTTATATGACACTGACCTTAATGAATTGTTCAAAACACTTCATGACATTAAAAACAAAAACACGGCCGGATATGATGATATTTCCCTTAAGATTCTTTTGAATTTACCACGCAATGCTCTAGAAACTTTGGTTGCCCTTATTAATACCTTATTCAGAACTGGCTCATTTCCTTCTTCCCTGAAGACTTCCGTTGTCATTTCACTACATAAAGGTGGTGATTTAGATAATCCCTCCAATCTGCGTCTTATTTCCTCAATACCGACTTTACCAAAAATTATTGAGAAATTAGTCAAAGTACCTTTAGATGAAGAATTCTTAAAACTGCACTGTATTTTAAGCAAAAACCAGTTTGGGTGTTAGGCGAAAAAAGATACAAATGATACTATCTTCTCTTTTTTATATGAAATTTACTCTGAATTGAATGCTGGTGAAGTAGCTGCCGCAATTTTTTGCGATATTTCAAAGGCGTTTGATTGCGTCAATCATAATTTTTAAAAAAAAACTTCATAAATTTGGATGTAGAGGTGTAATGAACACTTGGTTTGAATCGTACCTTTCAGCTCAAAGTCAAATGGTGAGGACAACGGAACTCTCTGAGAACAGGGCCATTGAATCTGGTGTACCACAGGGTTCTGTGTTAGGCCATATTCTGTTTCTGTTATATATGAATGACATCTATGATTAATATATCTGGTAGTTTCACTCTATTTGCGGATGATACTACAATATTGTGGAAAGAAAAAAACTCAATGGAGCTAAATAAAATAATATCATCCGACTTGAAGAAGGTGAAGTGCTGGTGCGATGCAAATTTACTCTCTTTCAATGCATCCAAAACGAATATAATATCATTCAAATGTTCGCTTGATGAAATTTCAATAGACTCTGCCATATGATGAACACCTTAAACAAACTGAAGAGTAAGATCTCCTCCGGATGTTATGCAGTTAGAGTGGTTTCAAATGAGTTGGGTTTCAATGTCACAAAGACTGTTTACCATGCACTTATTGAATCTCGACTACGTTATGGAATACCTTTTTGGGAAGCATGCAACTCATAACTTCTCTCTTCTGTATTGATTTTACAGAAGAGGGCACTAAGATGTCTCTGTAAAGTCAAACCCAGAGAATCGTGCAATAATTTGTTCAGTACCAATAAAATGTTAACAGTCATTGCACTTTTTATCTTAGAGACGATTTGTCTTATTTACAAACATAAATCGAAGTTCAACTTTGCTTCTACTCCTTATGCTATTCGCATTAGCAATTATACCTTTAGACTTCCGGGTGCGATAAGTCCTCTGTATACGGAGGAGCTATCGCTTCCCGTGTAAAAGAGCTTAAAACATCATGAAGCATCAGTAGAATAAATATCAGGGGGATGACCCAAGACGTGTTTTTCGCATTTTTCGTATAGTTTAGTTTGAGGTTTCTCCGTATCTGTGGTTGGTGTCACTGTTGTGCGTATACTGTCTTGCGTATATGCTCTTGCTAAACGACAGTGGATCAGTCTTCCAGAGTATATGTCATTTAGGATTAGCAGTGTATGGCTTTTCCGTAGAACTGGCAATACCGCTTTAAGGGCATTTCGTGATAAATCAGTAAGAA